CTAGGTATCGAGAGAAACGAGGAATCGATCGAGAGTCAAGGACATTGACCCCAAGACAGTGCCATCCTGAGAAACTTTTCGTTAGTTTACTCTTACCAAATGTTCACACTTTTCGGTAACCACGGTGACCCATTGATATCCATGGAATTTTCAAAGTCATTAGGCTCTTATTGCAGCCGGTTATTTATTTACTTATATTTATTTGTTGCGGACAAAATATGTCAACTTCCCGGGGGCACTGGATTCCACACTCTTTTCCCTCACTGACTCATGCTCGAACGATCATCGATTAAATGGGACACTTCACCAGTCTCCGGTTGTCCTAGGTTTCCCAAGTTTTCTCAGATAACCAGTAAATATCTCGTATCACTAGTTTTTCCATCGTCTGTGCAGGTTCCGCAAATATGGCTCCAGAGAGATGGGGTCGAAGAAACGTTCTTTTAAGTAGAGTTAAAGGGGAACAATGATGTGTGGATTGACTTAACGTGAGAGAAACTCTCTTGCCATCGCAGATCATTGCACTGACTCAAAACTTTCTTCGAATTTCTACTCTGAAAAATTCCGAATCGGTTGGAAAATTGCAAAAATCTGCCGTTGCTGCTTGAAAGTTAGGAATTAATTTTCTAAAAGAACTGTCGCTGATTAGATATTTCAACTCCTCCAAATTTTGGAGAGTGAGGCAAATATTAAATTTTTACCACTTACCTTGCAGGTAATGGCTCATACTTTGTTGGAACCTTATGATTGAATTATCAATCCCCGACATCATCAATCACTTGATCAATCAGAACCCCTGGCGAAAACCCCCATTCCCACAGAACAAAGCAGAGCAATCCCGAGATAGCAAAAGAAAAAAACCTAAAAATCTAAAATTATAATACCCTCAGAAGTCCTTGAAAAGGCTTGCGGTGAAATAGCAGATAAATTCTCTTTTACACTGGAATGCATCAGAGGCAAAATGACGAACTGGTGAGCGCCACACGATTTGTCACCACTTGGTACTCACGTGTGCAAGAGAAACAGACTATCACGTGAATATTGCCGAATGCATAAATACAGAGACACTGTAACGAAACGGCAAAGGCAACTACGGAATTCCGACGTTAATTGCCCCACGTGTATTTTCTCCAACTTTTAATAAACCACACGGGTGGAAAGGGTTTACTTTTGCTCCCGCAGTGAGGCACAGCCATATCGCTTTAACTAGCTGATCCGGTCTCTATATGTTCGCGTGTCGTCTTTCCTCTGCACCAAAGGCACAACTCGATGTGAATCTCGCCGCTCATGGCGCACGAATTATCCCTCAAAAATAGAATATCGACAAAAAAATAAACGAATTTATTGCAAATAACTTGAAAATTAATGATTGCCATTCTAATTATGATAGTTGGTTTCCCACTTGATTGTGTGATTACCACTCAAACTATTTCTGCTGCGTGAAATTTTCATTCTAAAAATTTCCTGGAGCGCTCACATCTGCCTGAGTTCAGGTTTAAACTGCCGGATGACTTCATAAGAGAAAGATTATAATAATGAGAGACTCGTTAGCTGAGTTTGCTGGGTTTCTGTTCGTATGAAGTGCAAAATATCCTCCTGGAGCAATGGATGTCGGAGGATATCATCGCGGCGTTTGAAAAAGTCACCTGTAATGCTCTTGCTATAATACACGATTAAAACGGATAAATAAAGTTGATAATGTTGACACCAATCTTCGAGGAGGACTATTAGGAAATGATTATTGAATAGAGGAGAAAGTGAAAGGGAATATTTATTAATTAAATACCATTATCAATGAGGAAGTAAATTTTATGATTCACTCGGCCGCTAATTTCATCTGTTTATCCTAATTCAGGGCAAAGAAGAAAAAATGGCAAATTTGTATTTCTTTCTCTGTGAAATCATTATGATTTCGCTGTTCGAGTGAACGAAATAACGAGGGACTTCATCTACAACTGGACTTTCAAGCTATTCTGAGAAACCAAGAGATTATTCGAGACAATGTATTCACAGTTAGCATCATCCCCGTTTCCAATTAAAGTGATGTCCTTGGATTCCATAGCCCCAAAGAAATTCTCAGTAATATTGCCAATGATTCCGATAAAAAAAAAAGAATTGAATCACATAGTTTATCATTCTAATTAAAAATTATTGCCGCTATACTTTATTTTTCTGAGAAAACCACTGAAAGTAGAGCCAACATTCAGGTGACTCTGTACCTTCACTTTGATCTCGCATTTTTACTCCCCTTTGAATTAGGTTCAACGGTATTCAGAGTATTTCTTATTGTTACTCTGGTATGAATAAAGTAACTGGCGGTTATTTTCCCTTTGCGCAATAGATGTCCAAGGCATTCTCCATCTGTTCTTATCCTCTTATTTCTTTTTTCTCGCTGTGGAAATTCACGAGAGGATCGCCTGGAATTGACATTAATCTCTTCTCCCACGGTAATTTTCGTGGCTAACGACTATTGCCTCTTAGAAATCGAGTCTGGCATTAAAATCTACACGCTGAATTCAGTACGTGGCCAATCGATGAAATCGACAATTTCAGATGAAATCATTCATAAAATCATTCATACAATTGCACTTTCTATAGAATTGAATAAAAATAGAGTAACTGATGTTTGAAAAAATTTAATTGATGTTTCACTATTCGCAGTAATTTCAAAGAAATTAGTTGATTTATCGGTAACAAAACGAAGATGGAATTCTCGCAAATGTGATGTAATTGAAAATTGTACGTTTTTTAATGGAAGTTTCGAGAGTAATTGACCAACAGAGTGATTGGAGAATGGTGGGAATGAATTGGAATGGTTTAATGTCTCGATGGACTCGTTTAATCCAGTGAAAGTTGTCAAAATCGGTTTAGATGTGTGCAGTACCTCGTGTTAATGGCAGCCCGGTGAAAGTTCTACGTAGTTTCAATTCCAAATGGCTTCAGTGTGTTATGGCGAGGGGAAATTCTGCCAATTTTTCCTCTTCTCCACTTTTATCTTTTATCTTTTGTCTATCGCTTTTTTCCCCGAGTGTGTGGATGTAGGTACAACCGAACGTAATGACTGCCCCTGGGCATATAACACTTCACGTACTTCTCTTCAAATTCCATGCTCAGAGTGATTAACACTAGAGGGGGATAGAGAGGGATAAATTACACACTCACAAACCTCTGGGACATGTTGAAATCCATAAGACGTAGAGCTCATGAGATTTTTTTATACCTCTGATGTCGCAAGGTGAGGTCAAGCTCCTCTCGGCTTATTCACAGCCATTTATTTCCCCGGCTCATTTATTAGTTCATTTGGATCCGTTCGGAGTTTGCTCTGTTGGAGTGAACCGAACACCTGTTCCCATTGTTTAGACTCGGAGCGGATATGAGACATTGACCGGTAAAAAATTTGTGACTGCGGAGGAACTGGAAATAACTGGAAACTCAACTGGCTCAAAGCAAAAAAATACTCATTTCAGCGCTAATTATATTTTTAGCATAATATTCGCAGAATTAGCGGTTGGTGCAATAATTGGTATTTCGTCAATATGCTATTTATATTTTCATGGGCTTGCAACCTTTCATCAATTTTACAATGCACGCTGAATAAATTGTAGTTAAATTCACCCTGGCATTGTGTAATGTTCAAATTTTTTTCTCTAATTGGCCTTTGCCAATTTCAGTTTTTCCATTTAAATAGAATTTCTTCAGTTGATGAATTCAGTATAAGAATTGAAAAATTCAACCAAATCCGAGATTAATTACAATGAGGAAGAAACAGATCTACCTCCCGTATTCAATTGAAACAATACTGAAGCTGCGATAAAATCGAGACTGTCCAGGTATTTGAAAAATAACGAATATCTCCGCCTGGGCTGTCAGCGATAAATTATGAAAAAAATGTTTCATGCCTGCGAGGGAATCGAGTATCGATCGACCATGAACTTTTACGCCATCCCATATTCCCATACGTCTCTTACCCATCGGTATTTTATCCTCGATCAGGCATTCCTCGATGCTTGAATTCATTTAAAACACCGGCTGTAGCGAGTAAAAAATGGATAATTGATGAAAAGTGAAAACGTGGAGACCGTGGAATAATCCGGCCCAGTGTGTCTGGCACACTTTATTTGCAGCGGTGAAAGTAACCCAAAAATGTCGATACACCTTCCCTTTATATCTCACTTACATCAGTGTAACCGTTGCCGCCCATCGTAATAATTTACAATTGGACAAATGAAAGAGGTAATTCTCGGGCTCTTCAGGATATAATTAGGGGCGTGAGTTCCATTGATTTATATTTTTCCCACGATTTTTTACCGAGGCTTGTTTAAGTCAGTACTCAAGTGTTAAAACTGATCTCATTAATCATTGAGTGGTCTCCTGAATGCGTAGGAACTCAGAAAAACTATGCAAAAAATGCCCATAAACCAAACTATCTGGTATTTAATCCTTATTTCACCTGACACGTCAGGTTTTACCATATTTTTCTCGGGAGTTCATGAAATAACAACGTTTATTATGTAATGGAATGCAAAAATATACCTTACCGATGATGTTATTAATGATTTAATCAATTTAATCATTTCTACACCTAGTCGGGAATTTACATTCAACTTTTAACAATTGGCGGTTTAGTTATTGAAACAATTAGACTCATTAATAAATCCGACTTTTACGTGTAGAGAGAAATTCAATGAAGAATTATCATGTGGTGAATGAGAAAATTACATTAAAATCACATTGAACTTTCGATAAATTGATTGGTATAATTTATATTGAATCATTCCCTCGAATAAATGTAATGCGATAAGACTAACAGAAGAAAGGGAGAGACTTCTCAATGCACTGGCCTTGATTTCCACGCTGAGAGCTCGGAAATAACCAGGAAGAGGAGTGTTACGTGAATCGTATGGAAGTCAATTAACTCAAGAAAGAAAGAAAGAAAAAAAAAGCGAAATGCAGAACGAAAGGGAAGTTGAGAATGATTGTTTTGTTTGATTCATTCATTTCAGGATGCGTTGGTTTAAGGGCAACGCCGAGGCACCAAGATTACTCAGTTTGAGTCCATTGCGTGGCGATGATGACATCGAGGGTGAATCGCTTCACATCCATGGAACCACCGAAACAAGAGGTGAGAGACACAATCATCATCTAAATTTAGATACTTTCCCTTCGACTCAACATTTCTGCATATTTATTTATCTGAATTTCTGCCCACATAATTGCGGTTTTTAGAGCTATAAGCGCGAAAGACATGATGAGTCAGCAACGGATAAACATTCTGAAGCAAAACAATCGTAATAAATGACGACATTGTTGAATAAATTTCAAACGAAAATTCAAACCCAAAAGGAAATTCAAATCAGATATATTCATTCCACTCATATTTCTCGTAATTTCAAGTCACTCTCATGCAAAAGAACATGTAACCCAGACTTTAATACTTATTTATGCAGCATGAATGGATCATTCGTTATTCCATTTTATCTTCAAAGTTAGTCTCCCAGATTGAAACCAAGTCGAACATATTTTTCAATAACTCAGGGTTTTGCCTTTCACTTTAACAACTTGTCAAGTGATACCGTTGAAATAAATCTGTCTGAAAAAAATTCATTAGAAAATCAGCCAGTATCCATCAACTTTCCCAGTATGCAAATTGTAAGAGCAGTTTAGTGCATCTCACAGGCATATCTCGTCACAGACACCAGTTGAACGCTATCCTATAAATGGCATCTCAAGTTTCCAAATGTCATCATTCACCCCTGGGAATCGAAATTCGATTCAAAGTCCACTGACAGGGGATGCCTCTGCACTATTTCAATTCCCCCGATTCGTTCGACACGCATTGAAAAATAAAAGAATCCTCGTCATTCATGACTACGATATTCTCCTCAACTGAGTGCACTACATAACGCAAAGAATGAGAATCGTACGGGATGTCCTGCTTGAGTCCAACATCCTGCGAGTGACTTTACGGTGCGTAAAAGCGCCTCATGAGAAGATTGTATGTATAAATGTGCGTCATGCTCCACGGAAACCACACGGTGCAGGTCTCAGTGTAGCTCATGGTATCGTCGACCGTCTGTCGTTGGACATATTTTTTCATTTGCTCGCGTGTGTCTTCAGCGTACGGACCTCTTCGTCAATTGAGAATATAAGACAAAAGATAGAATCTCGTTAAATAGTGAAAATAAAAAAATCCACAGATATTCACTGTTAATTCTGGCCAAGAGAATAAACGCGGAAGTCTTGCCAACGAGGATGGGATTTCTCAAGTGTAAGAATCATTCTCTTCGCGTTTGCCTCAGATTCGGTATAAGTTACGGTTCGCCGCTCTGATTGCTCGATATTTTCATACTTGAATGAGCAGAAGGGTTTCGTCATCGATAACTGCTATAACAATTCCATAGACCACAATTCCCGACATTACATTCCACTAAAATTTTTCATCGCAACTGATTATTACTGATTATTGATTCTTGTTACAGACATGTCTCCAGTGCGGTGGTCACGTAGGAAGTCCTCGGGCTCCGAGTCCGAGAGAAACTGCTACAACGTGCAAACGTCACAGGTGACAACGGAGAAGTGCCCAAGCAAAAAGGATAAGAAGAAAATCCAAGAGGAACGCAGGAGATCATGCGAGAAGAGAAATCCACTGTTGGACAGGGTCAAGAATACCAGGCTCAGTTTCTTCAAGGACAAATTGCCGGATGATGACTTTGAGGAAGATGAAAGGTCTCACTTTCGATCGATGTGCGATCTCGACAAGCGCAACCTGATGAGGAGTGACTTCAGGAGATCGGTGTGTGAGATTGATCTGAAGAAAATAACAGAGGAGGAAAAAACCCAGGCAAAGAGAAAAAGAAGATCCAAGTCGCACACACGAGTGTCAGCCCGCAAGAATACTGATGAGAGATTTAGCTTCCTGGGCTTTGGTGGTTCCTCGACCTCACAGAAGTCCTGCTGGTCCAACGAGCAGTCCGAGATACCAAAAGTGAGAAAAAGTTTTCACGTACTCCAAAGTCCCTTAAAAGCGTGTGAACGTACATTAGACTCGTTGGAGACAGACGAAACCGAGCCCCATCTTGAGGGATCTGAGGGTTCTCAATTTGACAGTGTAACACCATCGAGCTGCCTAGCAGCTAAGTTCCGCGCGATGCAGGATCGTTACCTCAAGTCATCTACCAACAGATTAATAGCGAAAATCTACAGACGCGATGGAAAAGACAGAGATAAACGCAGACTACGTAGTTTCTCGTACGGTACTCTACCAGGTCTCGACGAGCTACGTACAAATCCACTCTTTGAAGATCAAGATCAGGATGATAATGACTCTGGTATTCTCGATAATGGCTCGGCAACGAGTTCACTCCTCGACGATAGATGCAGCAGTGGTGCTTCTGGCCTGATCACGAGCATGATCAGTGATTTACCCCCACAGCTACCACCGAGAAAGCCATCGTCATCCATCACTGATTTCAGTCCAGATCTGGGGACGTCGCTAGTTAGAAAATCGAGCACTGATTTATCTAAGCATCACACGAGAATGATAATGCACAATGCGAGCTTGGGAATTGAAAAGAATCCCCTGGGTTCTCTCAACCAGGCGACTAATGATGAAGTTATCGAGCGTCACGGCACTTCAGGTGAACAAACGAGAATCAAGGAGGACAAGAGAAGCAAACAATTGTCCGTGGTGACGTCCAGATCCTACACAACTGAGAATATGGTAGTGAAGCTGCCCAGGGAGACTGTCGATCAGTCCCTCGGTATTTTCATAGCAAAAACAGTGGATAGCAGTCCGGGCTACCTAGTGGCTCACGTGGTGCCCAATGGGCTGGCAGATAAGGAGGGAACCCTGAAAATAGGGGATGAGATTCTCATAGTCAATGGAAAGAGGCTGAGGGGGCTGGACATGGGGGAAGCCAGAAAAGTTCTTGGCAGTGGAAATGCTCCCGGTGAAGTGGACATCGTCATATCCAGGTACACGAGCGTCGAACCTATCAAGAGGTTGAAGGAGAGCAGTGTTGATTATGAGAATGTCAGTATGGAGCACGGCCAGGGAATTATTCTAGAGAACGCAAGCTCCCCGAAGTCTCACTTCAGAAAACATCACTCCAGGCATCATCGGGAGAGAAAGAGTGAATCGAATCGCTCCATCTCTTCCGAGAAGAGCAATTCAATTGAAGGAACACAAGTGGTCTCGAATTTTTGCACTCTTCCACGAAGACCACGCAGCTCTGTATCTTCGTTTCACACGGTTGTCTTTGAAAAAGGTCCTGGTAAAAAATCCCTTGGTTTTACCATTGTCGGGGGAAGGGACAGCCCCAAAGGCAGCATCGGTACGTTTTTGGGTTTTTTTTTTTCTATTTATCTCGGTTGTTTTTCGTGTTCGATGGGATTTTAAGAATTTGTTGTGATTATTTTTGCAGGCATCTTCATTAAGTCAGTATTGCCCGGTGGCCAAGCTGCTGAGGATGGACGATTACGAGCGGGCGATGAAATTCTGGCGGTCAATGGACAGGTTTCTCACGATCTCACGCATCGCGAGGCTGTGCAACTGTTTCGCAGCATCAAAAGTGGTCCACTTGCACTCCATTTGTGTAGGAGAGTCAAGCAACGGGATGCTCAGTAAGATTTGGTTTTATGGGTTTATCTCAAGGGAAGATGCGATAGTGAGTGCTCTCAGATAATGGACATTCTCTATAAAATTAGAAAAGATGGGAATTTCTGAATTTCATTCAAATTACTCAACAACTCCATACAAAGTTAGATGAGGGACAGTGGAGAGGGATAAGACAGGATATTTCCTTCAATTTCGAGAAGAATTCCAGGAATAAGTCTCTGAATAAATTTTCCCAACAAATTCCATAAACAATTCAGGAGCCACTAAAACCGAGATGTTTCTAATTTAATATTTTTCTTAATTATCGATTTAACATGAGTAGACTGAGGAACTTTTTTGTGACTCATCAAGTCTCGTTTTCTATGGCATGCTCATGACAATCTCATGAATTCTAATGATTTGTCTTTGTTACAGAATCACCAAGGCCAAATCCTGTGCGGATCTTCTCTTAGTCGACTCTTAATTCAATTATTAAAAATTACGGGAATGAAGAAAGTTATTGCAAAATTGTAAATATTGTAAATTTGCCGAGATCCTCGGAGATGTTATTTAATGTGAAATATATTATAGAGAATCACTGGAATTCTACAAAATTACAATTATTTATTTATGATTTGTCTGGAACTATTATTGAAAGCTGCGATATAGTGATCTCGCTTAAAATGTTTTTTTTTTTATAAAATCTTACAGAATAAGTTAAAAAAAGAACCATAAAATGAGAACAATATGAAACAAAACTTATGGACGAAATAAATTAAATGCAACAAGTATGAAGATCCATTTTTAATGAGACTAGAGTCTAAAAGTTGTCAGCATTTTCGGTGGGTGTTTCTTCTCGTATTGTCGAGGCTTTGCTACTAAGGCGCTGACTTCAATGTAGTCTTTGGATACCTAGAAAATGAAGAAATACAATTAGTGGATAATTCATCAGCCGCTTCCCGTAAACTCTGTCAATGTCTCCACAAAACATTGTCTTTCCACTGAATAATCACTAATTCCTCTAAAAGCAACTCCTCAAGCACCAAAAAAACATACCTATGCCTCCTAGCGATTTCCAGCTCCACAACTCCCTCCCTGACAGCCTTGAACAGCTCAATAACTTCCTGATGCGTACACCCCCGCAATTGTTTACCATTGAGACAGAGAATTTCATCTCCTGAAAGCATAACAAGCACCGTCCTGAGTAATTCCATAAAATTTCTAGACAAGATATTCGTATCAAATTAGTCCCCAAGCGTATCCCCTCACCCAAATATTTACGTTACCCATTAAATCTACCCGACAAATATGTACCCTGTGATCCATGAATGTCTCGGTGATGTAATAAAAAAGAGGGAGAAAAAAAAATTAACTGAGTAGGTAAAAAGGAGACAAGAGAAAAAGAACCGATACCGTACGCACACTCCCCCCTTCTCTTTGGTATCTTTCATAAGATGTTTGCAAGGGTCTTGGGATACTCAACGGGTCCCTGCACTGTACGTTTCTAGGTAGCTCTTATCGTTGGGTACTTGCCCAACGAGCGCCCGTTTCAGAAGCATCCAGGCTCCGAGGCACGAGGAAACTGCTCTCGGTTTATTCGCAAAACCGTCGTAAAAACACGATGCCCGTTGACGGTTGAAACACGAAACTGACCGCATCAACTCTCCCATCATGGCAAAAAACGACTTTTCCAGGCTCTGAGCCAACGGACAGAGGTCTCGTCTCTCGTCCAGAGATAAAACAAAAATAAATAAAACGTGAACATAAAGATAAATAAATAAATAAAACCCCCAGAAGGGGTAAAAGGGGGCCTTGTAAGAGGTCAATGAGGCAAAGACCGTATTACTGATCAGTATGCATTTCATACCCTCCACAAATAAGTCAGTGTTGGTGAACTGGAAAGATCTGTTTTACACCGTAAAACATGGTGAGAGGTAGGAAAAAACGAGGCCCATGAAATAAAGTGAATCAGCCAAAAATGTTTATGCTTGTCTCGTTCCCCCCCATGTCTCGGATTAACGATTCTGGATATGTTCAACTGAGTGTTTGAGTGTGAATACGCGAACGTTACGTGCCTGGATTTTCACTCAACCCTTTTGTAAAATATAGAGATACCCACGAATAAAATTGAGAACCGTTTCACTCATTTATTCAGCTCCTCTCACCCCCCCCCCCCTCCTCACTCCTCCTTTTCATGAGCAATTCATCTTTTATTTGCACCGCTTTCCCCATTCTTCGTTTCCCTCCATTGATCAGTCCATCTACTTCTCAATGCGGAAGACACCTTGGAACAGTAATCCATCGCGTGCCAATAATGCAATAGTGAAGTAAGAAATCTCCTTAGAGCAGATGATTGACTATTTCTACCGCTAGAAACGTGTAATTCTATAGTCGGGAGTTGTCAGTTTACTCTATCAGTAAGTTTGTCGTGTCTCCGGTGTCTATTTAATTCTATTTCTACAGTTTTCCAGTTAGTCACGTTACAAGAATTTTTTCCGCCGTGCTCTATTAACCGTTGTACGACTTACGTATGAATTTACCATTTTATCAGTAATCATTTTGAAATTTTATAATCTCGCGATTGGAAATTTTTTATACGCATGTAGGATCTATTTGAATTTTCCACAAAGTGAGATATGTTTTTTCATGAATCAATGGAAAAAATTACAGTAGACTCTCGGTATAGTCGCATGCATAAAGCTGTAGGGGAAGCGAATTTGGAAACCCCCACTCCATTTTTTCATAGGCAAATTCTAATATGAGGGAAATCTATATTTCGGCTTTATTTTGCCCGGAATTTGATTCATCAGTGGACGAAACAATTTTGGATTGTTTACATGTATAGTCCCGAGGTAGAAAAGTCGGGGAACCGACAGATACATGAAAACGGAAACTGATGACAGGTGTGACTATAACGGCATTCTACTGTAATATAACACAACAATGGTTTTAAAGTATCGGTTTTATTAATTTATTTTCTTAATATTTTTTTACCTTGAAGAAGGGCCTTGGAAGAGTCAGCCTGTCCCCCAGGAAACACTCGCCTCACAAAGATTCCCATCTCACCCCTCGGGCTGTCCCTGCCTCCAACAACGCTGAACCCGAGACTTGGCTTTCCAATGCCTTTCTCGAACCTCGCAACGTGTCTCATCAAGTACTGATCAGCATCCGGCGTTGGTTCAACAGGATCTTTTCGACTCTTGGCAATACACGTTAATGGAAGATAATTCGGCCGTTTTCTCTCCACTCCATCGAGCTGTTTATCCTCCTCTATTCTATCATCCGATGCATCGCACTGCCTCTGATTATCCATCTGCGATGCATTTGATAGATTCCTGGCATTCTCGAGATGCTCGAACCCCTTCGAGATAACTGGTGTCTCTGTGTATCCCTCGGGTACGGTTTCCTCGTAGGCCGTAGTCAGTCGCACCTTATTACTCGTAAACGACTTAAGGAATTCCTGCACTTCCTCGAGGGTTTTGAGTGTGCGCAGTTCTTTTCCTTCTACTTCGACGATTTCATCGCCGAGGCGCAGTCTACCATCTCTATGTGCAATTCCGTCATTCTCGAGCTGCACGACAATATATTTAATATCCCCCGCATTGTGCTGCGCCAATCTGATCCCCAGACTGTCTCTACCATCCATCCTAGCCAACTGCACCACCCGACACCTTCTAACCCTCCTCGGAGGGTGAATAATGTCACTGAGAAATCTTCTTTTATCCTGCTGCAGCCTGACACGATGAGGCGGTGTACGATCCACCTGTGACTCTACCTTGATGCCCTCGAGGCGATCGGAGCACAATGATAATCGATTTGACGGTGTGTCATCGTACGAGCCTTGGTGAATACTGGGGAGTAGTCTTCCAGATGTGCTCTGATGCCACCTGAGGCCATCAATTCCCTCATTCATGTCAGACATACATCTGGGCTTAATCGTCTTAACACTGAGATTACTCGTCACCTCGCGGCACTCACTGGGTGTCGAGCTCCTCATCGGCTTCTCAAGCTCTGAATCGATAACACTACTCGTGTCAGAGCTATCAGCACACTTGGAGCTAATCTCGTTCTCGAATGTTGTCGTTGACTCCCCCCTGCCCGCTCCATCCGAATCATACCCCGACTCATTAGAACTCACATAATGAGACGAGAGCCTTTGCTCAGGACATGGCGCTGAGTTGCGCCGATGATTTCTCAATGTCGCTATGACATCCAACTCTGCCCCTAGGGAGAACGCCTCGGATAATCGATAATTATCGATGCAAGTGTAATCAGAGGACTCGGTACTTGATTCGGTTAGGGTTGGATGGACACCTCTTGATGGACGTATGAATGGACTGTAGCATCTATCCTCTCGTTTAAACGTGTCCTCCATTCGCTCTAGGTTACTCGGATTGAGACTGTACCTGTCTGGCTCACATTTTCCGAGGTTACTCGAGGCCCTACCCCTGTACTCAGCGTACGAATTCCTGCTGAATCTCGGTGTCTGGGGATTATCTCCGCTCGTATGTTTACTCCGTCGTCTACCCAGGGTCGTTGTACCGTCGAAGGACTCATCAATTTTTAAAACCGGAAAATGCTCCTCAGAAGTCGCTTTGAAGAGACGATCCTCCTTCGTCTGGACGGCACCATTTCTCTCCTCCGGTAAAACTGATAATTTTGAACGTAAGAATGCATACGGAAAATTACATCTCTTTGTTTCCTTGAAGTCACAGCTGCTGGACTTTCTCAAGGAATCGTTCCGAGCATCACTGAAATCACAAGCACCAAAACCCGATGAAGATGATCTTCTCGATGATGAGGTCATCGATACCTCCTCGAATACATCATCATCGTGATTATCTGCTAGATTATCGCAGGACATTGTTTTGTCTTTTCTGTGAGCAATCTGGAGATCAATCCCCTCCGAGGGATCATCACCTTTAACATAGGTTGGACTTGTATTCAATTGGGATGTACTGCAGCTCCTTAATAATGTCTTCTTATCAGCTGTTTTGAGTCTATCATCACAATTGGAGGATCGCCTCATGGCTTTAGTCGAGTTCAACATTCCGGTTGAACCCATTCGGATGAAGAATGATTTGAACGGCGATGGCGATCGTCTCGACAACAATTTACCGTCATTTTTACGATTATCCGGACTTTTATCACTATTATTATTATTATTATTATTATTCTCGTGATTGTTGTTGTTAACGGTGTCTTCACGTTCGAATGCGCAGACGGATTCTCTGGAGCCGGCACGCCGGAAAGATTCGATTTTTTTGCTCATCCTCCGTCCCCACACACTCAAACCTGTAAAATAAGATATAAAACGTCAATAAAGATCAATTCACACGAAATTTATAGGGTAGAACATATTAAAGCCGTGTTAACAGAAATAAATACAAGATTGTCGGTTTAAATTACAGCTGCTATTTCCGGCTGGAACATTAACTTGGAATATAAAATTCCCCTTCAAAATTAAATCCTTATAAAAAAGATCATCAACTCGTCAATCCAACGAGGGAAAATAAAATCCTCAATTATTTATCCGGTCCTATAATAAAAATATCTCCAAACTGTAAAACACATTCTTCATTGCATTGAGGTTCACCTGAATTACGGAAATAATTGCTAACCGTGGTAAAAAAAAAATAATCACTCGGTCATTCCGTAAACGTTAATACGAGCCATTGGTATGTACCATACAATGTCAGCATAGCAAAAACCAAGAAAGTTATAATAACCCAAGCTCACAGCGACATGTACATGATGGCCCATATGAGGAAACTGAAACAACTGTCCATCAGAGTAACTGGGATATTTTTGGGGCAACTTTTTTTTTCACCAGGGTGTCAGTGAAATCCCGAGCTAACGGAGCACCGATACTCCTCCATGAATCGTCAACCAATTCAGGTATCGAAAACACATGTTTCTTTTTGACGAAAGATAATGCACCACAACCGCTACCACCTTGTCCCTCCTCACATGCTGCCGAGAGTGCAGATTTGCACTCCTCCTTTTCCCCTTATGCCCCTTTCATCTTTCCTCCTTTTTTCCTTTTCTCCTTTTCTCCTTTTCACCTCCCTACCTTTTATTCTCGAAAAGCCCACATTAGCATGCTGATTAGCATCTCAAGCCACCGCAGTCATTCTTCAGGATCTTTTAAAGATTATTCACATCATCACGGGCATAATAACGAAGTCGTTTTAGTAAGTGGATTCGAATGCTTAATTAACGCTGATTCACGAAGATAACATTAAGCGGGGCGGGGGAGG